ACACACAGACATGCTTTACAGTCATTAATGCATTCAGTGTGAATTTGTAACATATTTCCAAAAGAAAACCAATTAGAGCTTTATCAAAAAGCTGTAACATGTCTCTAGAACAGACATAAGGCAAAATAATCACTAAGTAAAGGTGTAACAAAACTTCTCTAGAATAGACATATGGCAGAAAAAAAAATCCTGTGTCCAGGGATATTTTTTTGCCATGCATTGGTCATAGAGCTCTTTGTGGCGTTGCCTCAGATGTTGAACTAGATTTGTTGTCAGGTTCACACGTACTCCGTCTGCAGTGTGTATACAGTATGTGTATGCGGTGCAGAAGCAGCACAAACTCATTTTGCTTTCGCACAGGATGCGTTTGCAGTCCGCTCCTGATCCGCGGCTGTTTACCACAAACACAACATTTATCCATTATTTTGATTTCAAATCCAAATGTTGTTTCTGAAAATGCTTTTTCAGCATTGTGATTCTCTTTTATCACAGTACAGTAATACAATCTTTCATAGACATACTTTGTTTAACTACCACCACGAGTGCCATCTATTATTGCCTTGTTTATCTAAAAAAAATGTGGAAAATCGCGCTATAAAGCGATTTAGAAATCGCGCAAGCTCAAATCGCGATTTTGTGACGATTTCGATTAATCGCGCAGCCTTAATTGAAATGTATATTGCTGTATGTCATGAGGGAACATCATTGTACAGCAGTTAAGTGCATTTGTGGCTGTGCAAACAGGATGTCCAGTGTCTTATGGGCACTGTCAAGATAAATTACTGACTAGGCCTGTTGGATCCTGTCCCATGAAGCTAAATGAACATCTATTGAGGGAAAGGCCCAGTCTACCAGTCTACCTAGCATGGGAAGAAGTTTAAATTAAATACAACAGTGATGGGATGGGATGCTGGTTAAGCCGACTGAGTGTCTGCATTGGTGTTCATGGAAACACTAAATGAGAGAACATTTCATACAGAAACGAAGCAATATGTCTCTCAAAACCTTGTTTGAGGTGGAGGCCGTTGGCGGCTCAGGGATCGGTAAGTCGAGCCAGGTTTCCAGTGGTCATGCAATGTTCTCTGCTTATAAATAGTTATGAATGAAGACATGCTGTGTTTTTGATGTGCTATAAACCAGAAAGCCCCAAAGTTGTTCTCTGGCAAGATGTCTACATACTTTTGCATGGATGTATTCTAGTTGTGCTAATATGCTCATATGGTTTCCTACACATACATACAGTTTTCTTTAACTGTGATTTTGGTCCAGAAATAAATCCTATCTGATGTAATATTATTTTATTAACAGTGGAACAGGAGCAGATTCAGAAGAGGACATTCACAAACTGGATCAATGCACAGCTCTCTAAGGTAAACCCAAGAACACCTCATACTATGACTATGTAGTCTATGTAGTCTAAAAGGTTAAGAGTCAAACTGAGGCTGTAGCTGAATCGCTGACTCACTGGTCAGCAAGGAAGGTCTGTTCTGCTCCGTCTGCCTTTAAGCATTGCATATGGCAAGGAGCTTGATTTATTTATAGTTCCCCGCCAGCAGCAGCACACTTCAGCAGCCTGTAACATGAGCCATTTAGCCCGTCCACCACCATTTGGCCGCGTTTTAAACACAAGGCGCGCGCTCGCGCTGGACTCGGTTCAGACAGTCTTTGCTCGCTGGTTTACGGTTGCTAGGCAGCTGAATGTTTGCTATGACGACAGGCCAGTCTTAAAGAGAGACAGCTTGTCTGAAGTCATGTTTGAGTGACATCACATGTTTGTCTTTTGTGCAATGATGTCATCTGGAGAAATATTAGTACGTTACTTTTAACAAGTTAGCTGTTGTGGTTTGATTACATTTTATGGATGCAATGGAGTTCTGTGTTAGATTGTATATTATGTATGTTTGATATCATATACAAAAGCCAAGCTCAATTTATAAAGCTTGTACGTTCAAGAGCACATTCCGTAACACCAGTGTTATTTTAGTTTTTATTCATATTTTGGATCCGTTTAAATTTTTATATTTTCCATTTTTATTTTAGTTGTTGTAATTTTGATGTGATTTAATTAGATTGAATTAGTTTGTAATTTAGTAGTTGTGTTTTTATATATTTAGTAGTTTATGTATATATGCATGTATGTTTGTATATATGGATATATGCATGTAGTTTTTTTTATAAAAAAATAATAATTTTAGTTCAGTAAAATTAGATATGTTGCGTTGGCAACTTGCTTAAATAATGGTTTAATATTTAATCTTATTTTATTTGAGTTATTTTCATTTCTCTTTCTCTATGGTTTTAATTTTAATTAACTATAATAACTCTGAGTAACACCAACATTTCAATTTTGTTTTTCATTTTATCGTAGTTTTAAAAAAATTATTTAATTTTTGGTGAATTGTATTCTATTTTTGTTCATTTTTAATTTTGGTTCATTTTATTGAATTTAAATATTTGCATATATGACTAAATATTTCTTCGTTTTAAATTATTTAAAATCCTGAAACTTTCAGTTTTTTTGAACCCCATTGTTTATTGAAATTAGGGCTGTGCGATATGGACAATAAAAAACCTATCGCGATTTCTTTGATCAATTTTGCGATTTCGATTTTAACCACGATTTTGACACATGCAGACATGCTTTACCGTCATTAATGCATTCAGTGTGAATTTGTAACATATTTCCAAAAGAAAACCAATTAGAGCTTTATCAAAAAGCTGTAACATGTCTCTAGAACAGACATAAGGCAAAATAATCACTAAGTAAAGGTGTAACAAAACTTCTCTAGAATAGACATATGGCAGAAAAAAAAATCCTGTGTCCAGGGATATTTTTTTGCCATGCATTGGTCATAGAGCTCTTTGTGGCGTTGCCTCAGATGTTGAACTAGATTTGTTGTCAGGTTCACACGTACTCCGTCTGCAGAGTGTATACAGTATGTGTATGCGGTGCAGAAGCAGCACAAACTCATTTTGCTTTCGCACAGGATGCGTTTGCAGTCCGCTCCTGATCCGCGGCTGTTTACCACAAACACAACATTTATCCATTATTTTGATTTCAAATCCAAATGTTGTTTCTGAAAATGCTTTTTCAGCATTGTGATTCTCTTTTATCACAGTACAGTAATACAATCTTTCATAGACATACTTTGTTTAACTACCACCACGAGTGCCATCTATTATTGCCTTGTTTATCTAAAAAAAATGTGGAAAATCGCGCTATAAAGCGATTTAGAAATCGCGCAAGCTCAAATCGCGATTTTGTGACGATTTCGATTAATCGCGCAGCCTTAATTGAAATGTATATTGCTGTATGTCATGAGGGAACATCATTGTACAGCAGTTAAGTGCATTTGTGGCTGTGCAAACAGGATGTCCAGTGTCTTATGGGCACTGTCAAGATAAATTACTGACTAGGCCTGTTGGATCCTGTCCCATGAAGCTAAATGAACATCTATTGAGGGAAAGGCCCAGTCTACCAGTCTACCTAGCATGGGAAGAAGTTTAAATTAAATACAACAGTGATGGGATGGGATGCTGGTTAAGCCGACTGAGTGTCTGCATTGGTGTTCATGGAAACACTAAATGAGAGAACATTTCATACAGAAACGAAGCAATATGTCTCTCAAAACCTTGTTTGAGGTGGAGGCCGTTGGCGGCTCAGGGATCGGTAAGTCGAGCCAGGTTTCCAGTGGTCATGCAATGTTCTCTGCTTATAAATAGTTATGAATGAAGACATGCTGTGTTTTTGATGTGCTATAAACCAGAAAGCCCCAAAGTTGTTCTCTGGCAAGATGTCTACATACTTTTGCATGGATGTATTCTAGTTGTGCTAATATGCTCATATGGTTTCCTACACATACATACAGTTTTCTTTAACTGTGATTTTGGTCCAGAAATAAATCCTATCTGATGTAATATTATTTTATTAACAGTGGAACAGGAGCAGATTCAGAAGAGGACATTCACAAACTGGATCAATGCACAGCTCTCCAAGGTAAACCCAAGAACAACTCATACTATAACTATGTAGTCTGACTGTAGTCTAAAAGGTTAAGAGTCAAACTGAGGCTGTAGCTCAATCGCTGACTCACTGGTCAGCAAGGAAGGTCTGTTCTGCTCCGTCTGCCTTTAAGCATTGCATATGGCAAGGAGCTTGATTTATTTATAGTTCCCCGCCAGCACACTTCAGCAGCCTGTAACATGAGCCATTTAGCCCGTCCACCACCATTTGGCCGCGTTTTAAACACCAGCGCTCTTAAACCTGCAAGTGATAACCTGTGTAGAGCTCCAGTGATCTGCAGAGCAGTCTCTGTATAGCTAGAGTGTTGCATCCTTTTACATCAGATTAACTCTTTGATGCATGAACTACTACTCAAATATCACAAAATATCAACACTAAATTCCAAACTACATCGCTGACTCACTGGTCAGCAAGGAAGGTCTGTTCTGCTCCGTCTGCCTTTAAGCATTGCATATGGCAAGGAGCTTGATTTATTTATAGTTCCCCGCCAGCAGCAGCACACTTCAGCAGCCTGTAACATGAGCCATTTAGCCCGTCCACCACCATTTGGCCGCGTTTTAAACACAAGCACTCTTAAACCTGCAAGTGATAACCTGTGTAGAGTTCCAGTGATCTGCAGAGCAGTCTCTGTATAGCTAGAGTGTTGCATCCTTTTACATCAGATTAACTCTTTGATGCATGAACTACTACTCAAATATCAACACTAAATTCCAAACTACTTTTTTTTTTTTTTTTTGGTGAAATTATATTTCGAGCGAGTGTCACATCGGTCTACTGTAAAAGAAGACTGTAGTAAATATTCCAAAGGTCTTTTGTGCATCACCACTGTTGTCAGTCAATTTGCTTTTGCATTTATAAGTAAAAAAAAAAAACACACACAATATATATAAAAAGAATAGTCATACTGAATTAAGTTTCAAATACCCACCATTTGCAATTAAATTGTATATAAATAAAAGATGCATAAAATAAATTTTATAAAAAATTTTTTTTTTTTTATGAAACCGTTTATTTAACATTTAGACAATTTTTTTGACTATCATTTATGATACATCAGGCTTTTATGGTTCATATAGACAAATACAGAGGTTATACGCGCAGGAAAAAAATGCTTAATTTTATTCAGAGGCTCAAACTGACCAAAAAAGTATAAACTATCAATTAGATGACAGAAGGCATGTAGTAGATTGATTTTTATTTTTTATTTTTTCAGCAAAATTTTGGTCATGTTGATAATTTAGATATTTTAGCCATGCATTTAGATATGATACAGTTGGCTTTAGGGTTAATATTAATAATTTATATTAAAATATTTCTTTCTACTATTTTTTTTTGTTTTAATACATACTTGGTGTAATTCTCTGTTTATTGGTACTTCTGCCACCAGAGCTTGACATTAGGAATGCTCCATGTATTGCCCTGTGAACACCTTTAAAACTTTCAGATAAAATAATAATGTGTGTTTCAGAGGAGCCATCCAACTGTTGTCCAGGATCTGTTCTCAGATCTTCGAGATGGGACTCGACTGCTTGACCTGCTGGAGGTGATGAGTGGCCAACGCATGGTGAGTGCTGAATATCACACTGAGATTCAACCAAGAAAGTATTTATTTATAGTGAATCATGGAAATGTTTAAAAATGCTGCATACAATAGAGTGTATTTGTTTCTCTGTAGAAGCGCGAGCGGGGTCATGGTGTGTTTCAGCAGAGAGGCAACATTGAGACTGCTTTGAACTTCTTGAAGAATAAATCGGTAAGAGTTTTGTGATTCTTACAAGACTGATGATTATTTTCCATTTGTTAGGACATTAACATTTATATACAAATGAGATAAACAAATGTTTATGTTGTCAGATCAAGCTGGTGAACATAAACATCCCAGACATCATAGAGGGGAAACCTTCCATCATTATGGGCCTGATATGGACCATCATTCTGCACTGTCACGTGAGTATAACAATGAAAACACTGTGTCTTTACAAAAACTAGCATATCATATATATACTTGCATCTTTCTTTGCCTTGAGCTGTTTTTTTTTCTTCAGATACATACTTTTTTTACTTCAAGACCTTTAGCATTTTAGCTCAGAGTGGGCCTGTACTTTTTGAGATGTGAGAGGGAAGTCGTGGCCTAATGGTTAGAGAGTCGGACTCGTAACCGGGACGAGTTCGAGTCTCCGGTCCGGCAGGAATTGTAGGTGGGGGGAGTGAATGTACAGCGCTCTCTTCCACCTTCAATACCACGACTGAGGTGCCCTTGAGCAAGGCACCGAACCCCCAACTGCTCCCCGGGCGCCGCAGCATAAATGGCTGCCCACTGCTCCGGGTGTGTGTTCACGGTGTGTGTGTGTTCACTGCTGTGTGTGTGCACTTAGGATGGGATAAATGCAGAGCACTAATTCCTAGTTTGGGTAACCATACTTGGCCACATGTCACATCACTTTATTTCTTCCAGAAGAGAAAAGAATATCAAAATAGTAATGCACATAAGAAGCATATAGTATTATGCATTACAGAAGATATTTTTATGTCAGGGAACATGGGTTGAATGAGTTCAGTGGTTCTGTTTAGTCATATAAGGCTTTTGGTTTAAGGGTAAAAATATGGCAAAATGTATGCCGTTATATACACTACTGTTCAAAATTCTAAATACATTACAACAACAGCGATGAACAAAAAAAAGAAACATGGACAAACCAGTCACTCTTTGTAAACTTTGTTCAATGCAAGTGCCATATGCTTGAATATGACCAGTCATTTATGCCGTCATCACCCGCGTTTTACTACTCATTTACACTACAGCAAAAGATATAAAAATAACTGGCTTAAACCTATTTTTTTGTTGGTGAAAATACTAATGGCCTAAGGCTTTTGCACAGTGCTGTATATATATGCCGCCTGGTGAATGTATGAACTGACATCTGTATTAAACTTGCTCACTTCTCCTCATTACTACAGATAGAGGAGCTAGCCAACACTCTCTCTTACGGATCCCGTTCATCCTCCCTGGATTCTCTGTCCAGTCTAGATTCTGTTCCTGGATCTCCACGCAGTAGTCCTGTTCCACGTGGAGCATCACCGCTCCGCACCCGCTTCCGTCTGTCTGCTAAGAAGGCTTTGCTCCTGTGGGTTCGGGACCAGTGCCAGAAGTGAGCTTCATCTAGCTTATGCTTTCATGCACTGTGAATGTTTAATCAAACTGTTTAGTCTGTTTAATCGTTCCTCTAAAATGATTGTTTTCTTTCTCAAGAGTTGGTTGCTCAGCCAGTGTGAGGGACTTTAAGTCCAGCTGGAGGAGTGGTGAGGTGTTTCTGGCCATCCTCTGCTCTCTTAGACCTGATCTGGTGGACCTCTCTCAAGTCCAGACCAGCAGCCACCGGGAAAACTTGGAGAGGGCGTTTTACCTCGCTGAGAAGGAGCTCAGAATTCCCAGACTGCTCGAGCCAGAAGGTAATGGCTTTTAGCAGCATTACCCATTAAAATGATCTATTCATAGTGCTATTTTTTAACAAGCAATATATTTATTTATTTGTATTTAGCCATTTATTTTTCTAATACAGTGGTTCTCAACCAGTTGGGCCTCAGCAAACATCCAAGGTTGCATAACATAATTTAAAATAAGACAAAACAACTACAAGACAAGATATTTCTTATTTTAATATGAAAAACCTGGATTTATAAAGTAGCCTAATTTTAAAAATGTGATTTTTAGAAAAGAAGTCACTTATGGAAAAGCCACGTATATTAGTACATTTGTAAAACTACAAGCATTTTTATCATAAATATACATTTTTCTAAATTTTTGTAGTTACTACTGTTGTCGTTTTTCTTACCAAGCTAAAATATTTTATTGGGTAGAAATCAGAGGTGGGACCAAGTCATTGTTTTGCAAGTCACAAGTAAGTCTCGAGTCTTTGCATTCAAGTCTCAAGTCAAGTCCCGAGTCAAGACAGGCAAGTCCAAGTCGAGTTGCAAGTCCTCAGCTTTAAGATTCAAGTCTTAAACAAGTCATTAGTGCTTTTTGCCCAAATTAGTGTCTCGGGATGAATTACCATATCAAATTCATAGTAATTTATATCAGGAAGGCAGGTAGAATATTTGACACAGTTCAATTTCATGTGAGATGGATGCCCTTAGTAAAACTATTCAAGTTCAATTTAGGGATTGTGCCAAAATAGGATAAGCAGTAAACTATTTTATTAGTAACAGAATAGCAAAGACAACATAATTTCATAGAAATAACAGCTGCAACATACTTTGCATGTGTGCATAAGAATAGCTATATGCTTCTAGGTGTTATATCTAAGCCAATGAGCTATTATTTGGAACCTCAATGAAAAGGATTTAAAAATATATGTGAGCGGAAACACAGAAAGAACTGCTTTGAAAGAACTCGAAGAAATAACTGCTACCATACTTTGCAAGTGAGAGGAAACATGCAATATGGATGCAGACAAACTCATGAAGACAATCATTCAAAAATGCTGTGCTACCATCCTTTATAACTAAGAGTAACAAAGACAAAATCATTTAATAGAAAAAAATGTATGTTAAATGTTAAGTTTATAATATGCATAGTTGATCGCTAAATTTAGGGGCTGTGTGTGCTATTGGCCTGCAGACTGATTTACAACATGTGAATTCATTCATTTATCCTGAAAGAAATGGAAGTGACATGAGTGCCTGCAAGAGGGAGAAAAAGAAATACTTCTTCAAATTATATTTTAAATGATCATTAGGCCTATTGCCCCTTGCTCACTTCAGACATTAGGCCTAATGTGCATTTTTCTTCTTCAAATTATATCTGAATGGTTTGCGATGATTAATTTTCAGAAATACTTCTTCAAATTATATTTTAAATGATCATTAGGCCTATTGCCCCTTGCTCACTTCAGACATTAGGCCTAATGTGCATTTTTCTTCTTCAAATTATAGCTGAATGGTTTGCGATGATTAATTTTCAATCTAGATTAAATCAAGGTTTATCTAATAATTCTGTTGCACTAAACTTCAAACCTTTAAAAATAAGCAGGTTTACATTTTTAACCCATCATTTTGATCGGATTTAAGTTATATTTAAGATTAACTTTAATCCTGTTGCACCATAACTTTAAACTCCGATTTAAATCTCAATTATGGATTAACTTTAAACTTAACCCTTAAATGCATACCTCGGGACTAGGGATGGAACGATTACCGGTTTCACGGTAAATCACGATAAAATGCCCTGACGGTTAGTATTACCGTTTAAAATTAAATTATCATCAAAACCGTGTTTAATTATCGCGCTTTTGAAAACTCGCTGTAAATCCTGTCCAGCCAGCATCAGTCTGACGCAGGAGCAGCATGCAGTGTTGTTGTTGTTGTTGTTTTTTTTGCACGAGACGAAATGGCTGAAGGCTGTGACAGCGCTCGGGAGATTTTTCAGCCATCTAAGAGGACCAAATCGGTGGTCTGGTCGTATTTTGGCTTTTACAAGAGTCCTGAAGGTAATTTAATCGAGGATGGTCACCCTGTCTGCTGATCTTGCAAGAAGAAAGTCGCTGCAAAAAATTTGCTCAGTCATCTTTGTGACCACCACCCACTGTTATAACTATTAAGGTTGACATTTAAGGGATAATGTATTGTATATTCATAGTTAACTTATTACACAGATTTTTTTTTTGTTTACCTATAATAATATATAAATACGGGGACATGAAATATTGAATTGAGTTTAATGTTTTGAAATCTTACCCATTTATAAATCCATTATGAACAGTGTACAAAACAATCGTCAGGACAATATGATCACTTCAGCAAAATTATAGTAGTATTAATACTAAATTCCTCTGATTTCATTTTCAATACAATAAAAAAATGAGACGCAAGCTGCATTTGAATGAAACGAGAGTGCGCGTCTGCGGTGATACAAGAGACATGGGGCGAATTCCAAACAGAAGTGAGCATCCCTATGCCCTATGAAGGGCAGAGCCCTTGAAGTGTGTTCTTTGAAGGGTGCAGGGTATTACTGTCTCGTATAAGCGTTTGGAACTCCCTTAGCGAAGGGAATGACTGATCAATGTTACCTTGACAACGCTGCGCGTGCGTGCAG